TATAAACATTATCATAAATTTAGGGGTTTTTCGTGGGGCACCCTGTAGAAGTGGCAAACGCCGCGAACAGGCAACCAACTGCTGGGCCGAAGTTGGCCAAATGCAGAGGCGACGGAAAATGCGGGTAGATTCATACAGAACTGTCTCCGGCTTATTCTGTCTTCATTCAGCCAATCATCCCATCCCACCTCAGGCGACCGATCAGCTAGATGGCGTTTGCCTGTTGCTGGCGGTGCGGGAAAAAGGGTGAGGTCGAGCGCATTTCTTTCCTCAAACAATCTGACGCGATTAAAGCTATCATGATGCGCTAAAAGCCATGGCTTGGGGGCTTGCCAACTGAATGGGCACCGCAGTCAGCCCAGTGTGTGTCTTGTGTGTCTTTATCGAACTGAAATTTATCAGCACCTCGCTAGGTGTCACCCTCTGTCGCTGCAGATCGGTTATTTATTAAGACAGGAATAAGCGCACACCGATCTACTGGCTTCCCGAAGCAAGCAAGTTCGACAGAGAATGCGGGTTAATTGATGCAGGGCTGTTTCGTGCCTTTTCGGCCCTCATTCAGCTAATCATAGCACGAACAACCGCTTATGACCGGAAACACCGGCATACGCTATCATACAGGATGCCTAGCTACTGAAAATCCGGCGCGTCCACAGGTAGCACATATTGGAGAGGCCTTTGGAGAAAGTAAGCTGCAGGATAAGCAGACTCTCGGGTCTGGCGAATGAGCAGTCGCGGACCAAAGTACGGCGGGCTGAGGTCTGGCACGCCAAAAGCCTATAAAATGTCGCAAAGCCTAACAACGGCACTCTGTGACATGGCGACCCTCAGCCACCATTAAGTAAGTTTGCTTTCTGCCGCTGCCTTGTGGTTAGGCTGTTGAGCCAAAGCGCTAGAGGAGGCTACCTCGAACAATCGGAGCGGCTGTTAGGGACCCGCCTGTAGTCCTAATTCCCGAGACACCTCGTGAAGAGGTCGGCTAGATCAGTCATGATCGCAGCAGTAACAAGTACAACAAAGTAAATAAGACATAAGCATTTCATTGAACTGAAGCCTATCAGTACTTCACCATCCCTGATTGAATAGATACCCAATCTGCGAGGTGGCGAGGCACTGATGAACATTAATTCGATAAAAAGCCCAGGACTCATCTGC